AGAGAGAGAGAGAGAGAGAGAGAGAGGGAGAGAGAGGGAGGGGAATGATTTTAAAAAATGGGGGATTTTCAAGGCTGGTCATCCACTTGGCCTGGTCCTCTCGTGGAGATGAATGTTAAGATAAGGACATCCCACCTCACAGTGCTGAACCAAACAACTGTTAAAATAAAAATAGAAGGGGGCTTGCAAATCAAGTACGCTTGGAAAAAATTAAAGAAAAGAAAAACCCACCCCTTAAAAAAATAATCTGTACCTTGTTCCCATAGGTGAATTTCAACGAGCCGCTGTCGATGCTGCAGCGTATCATGGAGGAGTTTGAGTACTCGGAGATCCTGGACCAGGCGGCCCGGTGCTCAGACTCATGCGAGCAGATGGCCTGGGTGGCCGCCTTCACTGTGTCGGCCTACGCCACCACGCTGTTCCGCGCCAGCAAGCCCTTCAACCCCATGCTGGGCGAGACCTTTGAGTTTGACCGGATGGACGACCTTGGATGGAAGGGTATTTCCGAGCAGGTCCGCTTGTTTGTTTGTTTGTTTGTTTGTTGTTGTTTTTAAAAAAGTTTTGTAGCATCTGTGGTGCAGTGGTTAGCCTGTAACAGTCGTAACTGTAAGGTCATGGGTTTGAATCTTGGTCAGTTTTGTAGCATCAGTGGTGCAGTCGTTAGATACAAGATTTTTAATTGTAAGTTCATGGGTTTGAATCTTTTCCTGGCTGAGACTTTGAGTCCATTTGAATGACACTTCTAAAAGTATTTACTTCCCTTTGCCCTGGAAAATGCATATGTTCAATGATATGTGAAATGTATGGCATAGATATATGTCAAATTTTATGTAAAATGTATGGCAAAGGCGTATATTAAATGAAAAACATGTCAAATGTTATGTGCAATGTATGGCAAATACGTATGACAAATGTACATTGTGTTTCGCAGGTGTCCCACCACCCTCCCATGCTGGCAATGCACGTGGACGGCAGGGAGTGGAGCACATGGCAGGAGTTCACCATGACCACCAAGTTCCGCGGACGCTACCTGCAGATTGTGCCTATGGGTGAGTGGAGGAGGGGGAAGGAGGGGGAGGGAAAGAGAGACGGGGAGAGGGGTTGGAGAGGGATGAGAGGGGGGGGGGGCAGAGGGAGGTGGGGTAGATAGATGTCACCAACCACCGCAATAGGGATAAGAGAGAGAGATGCAGAGAGAGAGTATTTGTTTCGCCAGTCTAGTTAGGATGCCTGTGATGAAATGGATTAGTTCTTTGTTTGCTGTATGCGAAAGACATTCTTTCGGCTCTTGTGTGGGGAAGTTGATTTTGTCATCTCTCTCTCTCTCTCTGCTGGACTCACTGTATCCCAGCCACTCTGCTCATTGTGACTCTCACTGACTGGACTGTAGTAACCTGCCTTGTAAGTCATCTAACTTTCTCAGCCAGATATTACTGACAATATATATTTTTTTTTTTAAAGTTTACCCCCCCCCCCCCCTCTCTTTCTCTCTCTCTCTCTCTACCACATGCCATAACCTGTGGGGAGGGGGGGGGGGGAGGCTGGTAATTATGATTATAATGGTAATTTTTCCCATACTATTAATAGTAAAGTTATATTCTTTTTAGGAAGATTGATCAAAATGATTATTATTGCCATTTTCTGTTGAAATTAACATGGCTGTGATAGAATCTTTCTTTCTTTTTTTTTTTTTTTTACTTCACCATGCTATACCAGCTTCTGCTTGTTGTGGTTGTCATGTTGAAAATCCGTGCAGCTATCATCATAGTATTGATTTCCTGTGTTGGCCGTCAAACGGAAAAGTCGTGAAACTGTATCACAGTATCAACTTCCTGAGTTTGTTACTAGTCTGAAAAGGGGTGAGCTATCTATAGCTTTCACCGCTATATCGCATTCCTGTATCCATCATCAAACATAAATTATGGCGAGTATATTATACTGTGATATAAAATCCGTTTATCAAATTCTTTCAAGGTGTAAAGTATATTGGCAGCGTCATGTTTCTGTGTTTGTTATCAAGCTTTTGAGGATGGTTAGAGGAAACCACTGGTAGCTCCTTTTTATACCTTTCCCTGTTCTGTTGCTGTCTGTCTATCTTGTCTTTTCCCAGCCCTACACCACCTTTATTGTTTTGAGCTCACAAGGTGTTCGCGAAATGAGCTGCTTTTAATTAATTGTTGTGAAGTATTTGGTAAAACCTTGATTTTTTTCTACACTGTGTGTTTATGACTTCCAACTTCAAGTGAATACAACTTTGGAAGCCCTGATGCTAGAGGGTGATTGGCAGGTGCTCTGATGTGGTTTATTCCTTCTTTCCCTGCAATCGTGCATAGTCCTTATCTCTCCTCTTTTAAAAAAATGTTTGATACTCTCTTGTAACACCTTATCTTCTGCACTCATATCATCTTATTGTGTTGCAAATACAGTAAAACTCTTACCAAAACTAAAGTTGCTAGACTAATTCTGTTTTCTCACACTTATAGGGTTTGAACAGAACGTCTATCGTCTTTATCTCTCCCCTTCTTTTTTGTGTTTACTTTCTTGTAACACCTCTAATCGTAGACACTTATGTGACTGTATTGTGTTACAAGTGATGTAAAACCGTTACGAAAACTAGCGTCTTTATCTCCCTTTCTTCCTTTTTTATGTTTGTTGGTCTCTTTTAATACCTCTAATCTTCAACACTCATATGACCTTACTTTGTTGCAAGTGCTGTAAAACTCTTAATGGGTGGTTGGCAGATGCTCTGGTGTGGTTTGCTTTTTCTTTCCTATGAAACATCTTTCGTCCTGATCTCCCCTTCTTCTTTTTTATGTTTGTTACTCTCTTGTAACACCTCTAAACTTCTGGTGCTCATATGACCTTATGCAGTTGTGAGTGCCGTAAAACCTCTACTAAAACTAAAAAACTCTTACTAGAAAACTAAATCTAAAAACCAACTAAATGTCCCCTTCTGTGTTGGCAGGCATCGCCCACTTGGTGTTCCACAAGTCTGGCAATCACTACACGTGGCGTAAGGTGACCACCACGGTGAACAACATCATCGTGGGCAAGCTGTGGGTGGACAACCACGGGGAGATGGACATCACCAACCACCACAACGGGGACAAGTGTCACCTCAAGTACTCCGCCTACAGCTACTTCTCCAGGGAGAACCCTCGCAAGGTGAGGGGCAGGGAGGGAGGGAAAGAGAGGGAGGGAGGGAGAGAGGGGAGGGAAAGAAAGGGAGAGAGGGGAGAGAGAGAGGGAGGGAAGGAGAGAGGGGTAGGGAGATAGGGGGGAGAGACTGAGAGAGAGAGAGGGAGACTGAGAGAGAGAGAGGGAGACTGAGATAGAGAGAGAAAGAGTGACAGAGGGATAGAGTGATAGAGGGAGGGAGGGGGAGAGAGTGATAGAGGGAGGGAGGGGGAGAGAGAGAGAGAGAGAGAGAGAGAGAGAGAGAGAGAGAGAGAGAGAGAGAGAGAGAGAGAGAGAGAGTGTCAGTCATTGTATCAGTATAGTAGAATCAGCACTGCTCAGTGTAAGACCCTGTCATATGTCCCTTTTCACAATGGTGTATAGAGGAGTCTTACACACACAATAAGCTGTTGAAATACTGGGTATAACCAGTCACTCTTTCTTGTATGCTTTGACCAGGTAACTGGTGTGGTCACTGACGTGTCAGGCAGTGCCAAGTGGGTCCTGACGGGCACCTGGGACAACAAGATGGAGGGAGCCCAGATCATCCATGTGGAGGAGTCCAACAAGGGCAAGCCTGTGTTTGAGACGGGCCCACACAAGACCATGTGGAAAGTCCGGCCTCCGCCGTGAGTTCTCTGATTGGTTGTCTGTTTCTCAGTGCTTTTGTCAGGTCTGCCCTGTCCGTCTTTTGCTGGGTGTAGCTGACCACTGCTCATCATTTTGCCTCTTTCACCCTAGTATTGGGTATAAGCCGCCAAGAAAAACTCTCCACCTCGCTACCTTAGAATTACAAAGTTCTATTTGCTCAGTACCTACTTTTTTAGAAACTTAACGTAAAAAATGTTGAGTTTCACAACATGTCAAGCATTTTCGAATGTAATTCTTAGAATATCTTGATAATGACTCTCACTAATCTTACGATTTTTATAGACAGATGGGATATTCGGTTTTTGACCTCATGGTTTTAGTAATTAAAAATGTCAGATAGAACTTTGAAATTTTAAAGTAGCGACTTGTCACTGTTCTTGGAGGTCTTCTCCTCCTCCAGCTTGCTATGTCCTTCATGCCTGAGATCTGACGGAGCTCACTGCTGGAGGTGTCTTATCCTCTGTGTGTATTGTGTCTTGTTCATGTGGGTGATTGGAGAGTGTTAGTTGTAGATTTTCTTTTTAGTTTTTGTTGTTGTTTTCTTCTGTCTTTCTTGCCCTGCAGTTGGGTGGAAGATACCACTGGAAGGTCTGACTTCTTTCCTTCTTTCTTTCTGTTGATTCAATAGAAATTGAAATTTCTTTGCTGTCAGCTGGCATTTGAAGCTATGAAATCTAAATTTTGAAATGTGTAATATGATTAATTTATGTATTGTCGAACTTTTATCGTCCTTATCTCTCCTTCTTTCGTTTGTATATTACTCTCTAGTGACAACTCTAATGTTTGACACATATATGACCTATTTATGATGCAAGTGCTGTAAAACTCTTATTGAAACTACTAAAACTGAACCTCCAGGCCCGGTGCGGAGAGGGTATACTTCTTCAGCCAGCTGGCCACGGAGATGAACGAGCCGGAGGAGGGCGTGGCACCGACCGACTCACGACTACGGCCAGACCAGCGGATGATGGAAGATGGCCGCTGGGATGAGGCGAACCGCATGAAACTGAGGCTGGAGGAGAAACAGAGGGAGGTGCGGAAACAGCGAGAAGGAGAGGCAGAGCGTGCAAAGGCGGAAGGTAGGTTCTGAACTGAACATTGCTATTTTTAGGTTAAAGTCTAACTCTATTTCATGCCAGGGTCAATTCCATGTCTGTGTGCTCGGGCTAAAACAGCACCTGGACATGGATGGCTGGTGCCTCTATAAATAAATTATTGATGGTCTGGTCTGTGTGCCCGAAACATATTTGTGTGTTCCATAGACCTATATGGGTGCTCAATTTGAGGGCATTTATTTTGTTTATATTGTATCAAATGTGGTCATAATATATACCTCAAGGAAGGAAAATGGAGAAATACGTGAATAAAACTGAAATAAGAGATGACATAAAATAAAAGTATGCACTGTGGAGGTGAGACATGAAACAGTTGATGACAGGCATATTTATGATACATACATGGAATGGATTCAATAATGTCAAAGATGTTATTTATGGTCACGTATGCCCCTGAATGCTCACATAATTTTTTTATTGCTTCCTTGATAATTCCTAATCGATACTCCCGCTTGGAAATGTTTGATATCCCTTACGTAATGTTTTCCAACTAAGCTATCTCTTTGTCTCTTAGGTAATGTTTTTTCACCAGGTAATGATTTGTCATCCTCATCCACAGGTCGGGAAAATGAACCCTACAAGCCCACCTGGTTCCGCAAGGAGCGTGACCCGACCACCGGCGCCCTCATCCACATTTTCAACAAGCAGTACTGGGAGTGCAAGCAGAGGCAAGACTGGCAGCGATGCCCGGACATCTTCTTGTGATCTCACGCCCCACCCCAAGCCCTCAACCCCGCCCACCCAGACCCCTGCCCCCCCAACTCCAACCCTGACCCCTGCACTTGACCCCCGACCCACCCACCTTTTGACTGCACATTCTCTTGTTGAAGTCAGGAACCCACCCACACACCCACCCCTGCACCACCTTCCATCATCACAGCAGCCATTGGGAGTTGTCTGTATATGCAAGCCCGCAGAAAGAGAGGGACTTGCTGTATTTGAGGTCAGCACTTTGTGACCGACGCATTGGGACTGTGGTTGAGCCTTATTGGCTGAGAGAGACTCTTTCCTCCCTTTAGACAGACATGTGAAAACAACTCTTCTTATTTATTGGATATAGTGTTATTCTGAGAGCGAAGTGCTTGGTTTGCTGGAAAAAAATGAAATCAGAATCGTGCATATCGAAATATGGGATTCGCACGAAGGACGAGTAGTGCTGTAGCGAGATGGGTAAGCAGTTGTGGAACAGAACTGGCGCACAGCGACGGACATGTTGGACGATGCTTATGTGCAGTCTTTTCTCCGATTTGCTGATTTGTCGAGGTGGTGTGAAGAAAGAGTCTATCTCTTTCTGATGACCTGAGCTGAGCTACTCTGAGTAGGTCATGTTGTTCTGCATATTTTTGCTGTCCCTCCACCCCTCCTCCCCCTCCTCCCCCCATTGTGCGGTTTTGATTGGATATGGCTGTTTCAGCCTAACATGATAAGGGTGTGGTCATTGTTCCCCGTGATTCAAATAATGTGTTTCTTGTGATAGGTCTCTCCTGTGAGTTCTAATTTAATCAGTTTTACCTGCGTCGTCGAGGGAATAGAGAGGAAACCTGTGGATGGTCAGGGCGTTTGGAGGCAGTGCTTAGACTAAGAGTGCTTGTTTTGTCTGGCGTGAATAGTGAGTGTGGGTGTACTTGCCAGACTAGGTGTAGCCTGGTCTGTAGCCTGGTCATGAATGAGAAGAAGAAGAAGAAGAAGAAGAAGAAGAAGAAGAAGAAGAAGAAGAAGAAGAAGAAGAAGAAGAAGAAGAAGAAGAAGAAGAAATGATCGCGAAAATGTAGCCTGGTCAAACTGAGCCTTTCTTTGAGAAAGTTTGCTCTTACTCGACATGAAAGAACACAGACAAAAAGAAAGCAATTGTCTGTTTGACGAGAATCTGTACTCCTAAATTGTTGGGACTCTGTGTATTGGAAATGATTATACTTTATGTGATTTACTGGCCTTGAAAATGTTTGTTTTCACAACAGTTTTTTTTTCTTTTGGGTAGCTGTTTTGCCAGTTGTTGTTTTTTTGGCCAGCTTTTGACAGACTGCAAGGCACATGGAATATGGATTTGACCTGCTTTTCTTTTTGGGTTTGTAATTTTGCTAGCGACTAATTGTGAGTGTGTATGTGTGTATACGTACATGCACATATACATGTGTGTGTGTGTGCATACGTGCATGTGTGCGAGTGCGTGCGCGTGTTTTAGTACACAGCATGTACATTGTCATAGTCTGCTGGTGCTACAGTTTTGGACTGTGTGTCAGGAAAAGCTAGAAAGAGATGATATTGGGCTAGCCCTTCCAGTCCGACCCTGACCTTATCTTGTTCTCTTGGGGATTATGTCTTTGCTTTTTAAATGTAAGACAATAGCCACAAGTGTCTATATTGTCCGCCCCCCTCTTCTTTTCTGTCTCTGTCTCTGTCTTTGTCTTTGTCTCTCTGTCTCTGTCTCTGTCTCTGTCTCTGTCTGTCTGTCTGTCTGTCTGTCTGTCTGTCTCTCTCTCTCTCTCTCTCTCTCTCTCTCTCTCTCTCTCTCTCTCTCTCTCTCTCTCTCTCTCTCTCTCTCTCTCTCTCTCTCTCTCTCTCTCTCTCTCTCTCTCTCTCTCTCTCTCTCACACACACACACACACACACACACACACACAGACACACACACATACACACACGCACACATGTACAATCACACTTACTTAAGGCTTGATGCCTTTCCGTAGTGGTTTAGCACCAGATCTGTAGACAGAGGCTTGTAGAGCCCACAGGTTGCACACACGTTTCCTCTCTTCTTCGTCTTGTTGATCTTTTACATGTCCCCCTCTCATCTTGAGGATAATTTATGTCACCCTCCGGTAGAAGATGACTCGCATGCCATTCGCACGAGAATCTATGGTGGTCAGTTGTAGTAGATGTGCTGCACTGGCTCTTGGTAGGTGGACAGTAGGTCTACAGTTTGAATCCTCCGTTGTGTGTGTGTGTGTGTGTCGCTCTTTGTGTATGTGCTGCTGCATTGTGTGTATGGTTGTGAGGAGTTTTGGGATTATTGTGTGCGTGATTGTCGTTTGACATATCTGGATATTGTTGTTTTCTGTTATCCCGTCTCTCCTTTCTTTGTTGCGGCGTGGTTATTTCATGTTTTTTTTATCTCTCTCTCTCTTTCTTTTTTCTCTTTCTTTCTCTCTCTTCTCTCTCTCTCTTTGTCTGTCTGTTTGACTGTCTGTTTGACTGTCTGACTGTCTGTCTGACTGTCTGACTGTTTGTTTGACTGTCTGTTTGACTGTCTGTCTGTCTGTCTGTCTCTCTCCCCCTCCCTCTCACTCTCTCTTCCTCTCTCTTTTTCTCCTTTTTCTTCCTCTCCCTCCCTGTACCTCTCCCTCTTTCTCTCTGCTCCTCATCTGCTTCTAAGCCGTAGCTGCTTTGTTCACAGTTGTTTATGGATGATATCATATGAAATCTATAATGTCTTATTTCCATCAGATCTGCCACAAAGTTTCCTTCCGAAATCTTCCACTGTGTGGCTGGATCAACATCATTTTTGGTCCCTGCATGAACTCAGAGGTCTCATTAAGTCTTCCTCTAGGTGGGAATGTGGTTGAAAGATCTTGCATTTTTCTTTCTTTCTATTGTTTATCTTTTCTTTTTCAAACTAGCAACTGAACACCTGTTAGCGTGTGGGTGTGCCTCGCTTTAAATGGGACAAAAAGATTTGGAAAATATCAGTGTTTGATGATGGCAAATTGTTAGGTTCTATGCCGATGTGTGCAAAAGATGTGAATTTGATTTTTGTGTGGAGAAGCTAATTTTATAGAGTGTGTTTGTCTTTCTACCTGGGATGCCGGATCTCACTCTTACCAGATTGTCTCACAGATACAGGGTCAAAGCAGCCCGCTGTCGAAATTATCTGAATTTTTGTGGATGGGCATGTTATTTTCAATCCGTTAGAAAAATCTGAATTGTGCCTCCTTCCTCATTTCCTCATTTGTTTTTGCTGAAGAAAATCTGGAAATGTTTTATGAATTTAAATCAAATATTATTAATGCTTGAGGGGGAAATAATTATTACTGGACACAGATTTCCACAAAGGAGGTAGCTGAGAATTTAAAAAAAGACCGAAAACAAAAATGATAAAAACTTGTGTAGTGCCTTTTTTCATGGTGAACATTTTGCTTTCTGCTCTGTGTCCCCCTTGCTATGTGCACATTTGTGATGCGGGTGGCTGATGGGAAGCAAAGTGTTTAACCTTTGAGCCCTGGCTTTCTGAAAGCTTTGAGCTCTGATGTCCTGAACCCACAGGACTCATGCAGCTGACCTCTTCAGGAGGCTCTTGACAAAAAATTTCTAAATGTAAACCCCTCTTACTCTGAGGCATGTGGTTGATCTTCTGTGGAATGGAAAAAGTAGTGCATGCTGAGGCGTGTGCTCAGACTCGTAGGGTTTAAGCTAAAGCTGTTTTCCTCTTAAATCATTCCTTTGTGTGATGATTTTTTTTCCAGAACTTGTGTATGTACCTTTGACTCTTTGCTGATGTGTAGGTTTCTTTAAATTGGATGTTTTTTTGTGGGTTTTTTTCAATAAAATTGACAATGTGTGTGTTTTTGCCTGGGCTTGCCGGATGTTTGAGTGGGTGGTCTGACTGATGATGGGCTAGCTAGCCACTTTCTTTGTGTAGAGAATTCCTTTTTGTGCACACTTTGTACATGATGGCTGTCAATGTATGTGAGGTCAGATACTGATCTGCCAACTTTGTACGACTATGGTGGGTTTTGATATCTTTGATTGAGTGTGGATGTTTTCATGCTATCGAGTTCGGATGCTCTTGATGCTGTGTTCACCCTGTTATTTTTTTTTCTTTGAATTTTTTTTCCTTTTAATTTATTCAGCACCTCGGTTCTGTCTTTCATAAACAGAAGAGAAAAGGAAAAAAATCAACAGAGCTCAATGTTGGATCTTCTGTGTTAATCTTCGGTGTGATTCCTGTGTACTGTTTCTTTGTTCTCTTTAGGTTTTTTCCCCCCAGTATCTTGCTATTTTTCTACTGACAGAGAACTCCCGTTGCAAACTTTATTTTATTTGGGAGGATGTAATTTTCTGCGTTTCTTTTGTGAAAAAAACAACAAAACCCTTGTGGTTGAACTAAGTATTGGCTCGCGAAAAGTGAGGGGGGTAAGGGGAGGGGGGGGAATGCTGAAGAGGGGAAGGTTTTCCAACTTAAACTGAAGGATGGCTGGTGCTCCCTGCATATTTAATGGGTCCAGTCTGTTGGAGTCCTGAATAGATAAACTAAATGGAAACAACTGCTTTGTGGACAATTCTGTAGGCCTTATCAATTGTAATTTTATGAAAATAATTTTTTTTTTAATAAGGGGAAGTGGGGGGGAAGGGAATGCCATGAAGCATTAGGCGTTATGTGTTCTCGTGGTTTTCGTTGTCTGAAGGGGGCATGCGTAGACGATGCCAAAGTCAGCATAATTGTGGTCAACTAATGAATTTTGTCTTATGTGAATGTTGAGTTTCTTTGTTTCTTTGTCAACAGATATTGCCAATTTATTCTTTTGGTCAACGAACATTTATTCAAATGATATACTGTGTATATTACATGTGATGTTTTTTGCCTCCTGTACATAAGCTGGTCATAATTTTGGTCGTTTGGTCCCAGATGATTTTTTCTTCATGCTTTTCTTTGCTGGCAGTTATTTCAGGGCATATTTTGTATGTGTTTTTCCATCTGTGCTCCATGACTTGATGACGTTTGTTTTTTGTTGCAGAGTTTTTTCCTTTGGTCTTCTTTTCTCCTGAAACGCACATCTTTTTTTTGGTCATTTGTTTTGTGACGCAACTTGAGGGGAAGTTCTAGAAGGATTTACAGATCAGGCAGTCTGTTTCCTGTAAGACTTGAATTTTGTGAAAAAATAATGATTTACTGAGAAAGATTTGTTGTTGTCGAAATATGGTTATATGGGCGTACTGGAGGGCCACTTATTAGGATATGCACTTTTTGTGGAAAAAGTAAGGGGATCTCAACCTTTTGTTAGTCGAAGCAGGTCTCTTTTTACTAAGATTTCGGAGGACAGTTCTTCGAGTCTACAGCACAGGCGTACGTTGTGCAGTTGGTTAGAATCTTCGCTGTTACAATTCTAATTCCTTTTTTTGGTGATCGACACGTTCAATTTTCTCAGCATACTGAAAATTTCATAATAGTGGCGATATTTTTGCGGAGATACAGGTATAGTACTAATGTACCCCATCTGTATCCTGGTACATGGGGACAAAGGTTGTGCGCTTGGTTTATTTCTGTGTCACTCTACAGGGTGAGTACCCCTCTAGTCCGCTGACGTTGCCATGATTTCGCTCACTCTTAAAGTCTTCAGTCATCATCACCGGTTTTTTTTCATATTGCTATTTTGAATTATTATGTTAAAGTTCGTAACCCCCACTCAGTTCTTTTTGTTTGTTGACTTGTATGGTGTACAGACAAAGTTGAGTTACAAGTTTTTATTTCCCACTGGGACAATGAAATATCATCTTGTTGTCTTATTTTTATTTCGACCAGCAAGAATCCCAAAGTTGTTTCAATCTGATCCCGACCTACTACTGTAGATGTGCACTGCCTTGTCAACAGTCCATAATATATTGTTGCGATGATGTTGTTCTTTCCCCCCTTTTTCTATGAGTTTGAGCACTGTATAGAGTGACTTGTGCTGCTTGGCACAATCATTTCTGGTGTAGCATTCTAGAACTTGTAGAGGAATCGTGTAGT